TCGATAATTCTGACTCTTATTCCTGCCCTTGTAAGGCCGAGCGCGGTCGTAAGACCCGCTGGTCCAGCACCTATGACGAGAACGTCAACGAGGGATTCTGATGAAGTAGAAATCGGAGGATTCATTGGTATAGGCAGACTGGAGCACGGGTGCGACAGTTAAAGCAGCTGAGAGCGTACACGCCTTATAGCCCTGCCAAGCTTGTTCGCGGGACGCTGGTAAAGGTGATGAGAAATACGTATAACGTGTTCAAATAGACGTGAGAAGCGGCCGCTCAATGCAGGAACGCATCTGATTCCGTGCCACGGTAGAGAGCGCGCGGAGAGCTCGCTCACCACTCACCGGTCCTTCTAGATAGCCTCTTACCATCCCTATAGGCCACATTAGACTTGAGAAGGATGAGATCGACTATCATATCAACTGCATGTTAAAGAGGCCAGCGGTGTGAACACTCGCGCCGCCAGTCAAAAGCGCTCGACGACGTCGGAAGGCGTCAGAATTTCTGGGGCTGTAGACTAGATGCTAGGACCCGCGATGATCGTTTTACTAGTTGATACGTCGCTGAATAGCAGTGATGACGAGAGGAGAATTACGAGGTGGCGCCGTTTGGACCGAGTAGGGGGGACCTTGTCAACATCAGGAAGCAGCGTCTGACTACGTAGCGAGGGCGCTTGCTACCCTGAGCCACCGCATCTGCCCTTGTCGGGTAGCGCACGCGTAGAGGCTCAGGAGTGCCTGGTAGTACCCAGCGGCAGCGCACACATTTTAGGGGTCACTACGGTATGCCAGAAATTATATATTGGTTATTCAAGCTACAATGTGCAAATTTGTATGCGGGACACACACCTATGTCATTACTGGACTAAAATTAGATTAATGCACCGAAGAGCAGCACTCCAAGGCAAACTCGTGTGGATGTTCAAGCTCAAGCTCAAGAGGCGTCTGCCGAAGTACAAAGACGTCTGCCCTAAAGTGTTGGATGATGGCGCGACGGACAAAGGTAAGCGCTTGAACATCTCGTCGTCCCAGCTTCCACTGTTGAAGCGCCTAGTGGCTCTGGCTTGGCGTTCCGCCCGGCATGGACTTAAGGTGGACATCTTAAATTAGGTGCTGCTAATACGTAGATAGTGATTGGACAATCATATGTAGTGCTCCCACGCACGGACCTCTTTATGGCAGGCTTCCCCATTCTAGCGGACTTTCAATTTTGCTTCCTTTTAGTATATAAGGACTCCTCTCGCATCCCCACTCTGCGTGCTCTTTCCCTTCGCACCCAGAGTAAGTCCCTTCGTCGCTCTTGCGCAGTATGCACTTATGCTTACGCCCTGTATAGCTAATCCCCCGTGTGTATTAGGTTAGATCTATACAGCGTGCTCTTTCCCTTCGCACCCAGACTAATCCCCCGTGTGTATTAGATTGTGCCCGCGTGCCACTCGCCAGTTCGCGCTCGCGCAGCCCAGTAGTCGTATCACGACAATAGGTTATGAGCCCCGGCTTGTAACTGGCCCCCATCTACCCTCCATCCCTCACGAGTCTTCACTCGGAGAGATCCGGCACCAGCCGCACATTTGCTCCATAACACCTCAGGGTCTTTACCCCAAGTGTTACTCCACATCGCAACACGGACACTAGAGTTCCTCTAGTGCATGTCTAGTCCATCTGCATCACACCCATCTTCACCAACTGCACCGACACCTGCACCTGCACCGGCACCCCGTCCTACACGTCGCACTCCCGCTGCTCCCACTACACCCTCTCAATCCGCGTCCACCGCACCTCGCCGCACGACAACCATGTCCTCCGCCTCCGCATTCGCATCAGCCACCGGTCCACCGTCGATGAAGCTCGACGCGATCGGGAAGCTCAAAGGTTCCAGCGACTACCCACGCTGGTCCCTGATGATGCAGCAATACTTCATTGCTGCACGCGCATGGAAGGTCGTCGACGGCACCGAGAGAGCCCCTGTCCCAAGCAGCTCCGTCTCCGCTGCAGACATCGAAGCATGAGAGACGACAAACGCATATGCGAGGTTTTACATCCTCAGCACGCTCGGCGACGAGCTGCTGCACCTCGCGAACCCAGTGGACATCACAGCCGCCGCGCTGTGGAAGAAGCTGAAGGACAACTACGCCGCCTCCACCACGATGTCGGCATTCGTCAAGTTCTGTGCGTACTTCTCGCACGCGATCACGGACAGCGACGACCTCGCTGCCCAACTCGACAAATGCGCCCGACTCTGGCAAGAGGTCAGTGCCTCCGGGATCCTCCAAACCCCGGAGCTCCTGCAGATATTCGGCCTGCTCACGGCCCTCCCCGACTCATTCAACAACGTCGTGGAGCCCATCCTCGCAGTCACCAAGCCTGCCGACTTGAAGCTCGACGACATCCGCAACCGTCTCCTCGACAAAGCGAAACGTCGCAGCTCCTCCACCAACGTCGCCGCCTTCCACGCACCGAAGGCGTCTACCTCAGGCAAAGCCAAAGCTGGCAAACCTGACGGCAAGAAGGGCAAGTGCAACTTCTGCCACTACAAAGGCCACTACGAGCAGGACTGTAGAAAGAAAAAGGCCGCCGCCAAAGAGGCGCGGAAGGGCAGCAATGGCAAAGCCCAGGATGGTAAAAGTAATCCGTCCAGTAGTAGTACTGGTCACGCATCTGTACATGTAGTCGCCGCCGAAGGAGCCGCTGCTCCTGAGGCCGAAATTCACTCCGCTTCCTGGTATCTCCACGGTGTGAAACACTGGATGTTAGACTCCGGCTGTACACGACACATT